CAGTCCTAGAAAGCTGTTTCTTCACCTTGTCCTTGCTTTCCTTTTAGTTTTTGCAGAATCATCCCCAGATATTTCAATTCAGTCCTGATGAAAATAAGGTTGGTCTTAAGGAGAAGTATCATAAGCTTCCATTTAAGCCAGATTCTCAAGGACAAGATTTGCAAAGCCCTCCTCAGAAGAATAACATCCAATGGAGTTTAGAAAAAGCATCTACAGTGCGAAGGGACACTTCTGCTGGTTGCCACTGGTTTGATCTGAATGATTCAAAAGTCCAGCCAATTAAGGAGAAAGATATTGAGAAACAATTTCAGGGTAAAGAGAGTGCCTACATGCTGTTTTATCGGAAATCTCAATTGAAAAGACCGCCAGAAGGTACAAAATATTCATCTTTATATTTTTTCTTTATTGACACTTGTTTTGGAGGATGTAGCGAGTTGGGCATTTGTGTCCTTGTATGGAAGATAGTTGTCTGTCTTTTCATCAGTGAAAAAAGGGTTGACTAGAAAGGGTAAAAGGTTTAGCCAGAGATTAAAAGGCTACCTCTACAGAGGCAGCTGGCACAGTTAACTGGCTATAGGTGACACAGACTGTCTTTCCAATACTCTTATCAAATGCTAGCACATCAAAATTGTTGCTGATAACATTCCTGTTTCCTTTTCCCTTAAGAAAAAGCTGATGGAATCATGAAAGGAGGTTAAAGAACTTGTTTTTGTATCATCTTGCAATTTATCCTCTGTATTGCAAAAAGATGTGATGTTATTGCTCAGAATCTCCATAAACAAAATTTCAAAATAACCATACTGGAATGTGTCATCTTGATCACTTCTCTTTGCCAAAGCATGTTTTATGCAGCTCAGACTAACCTATATTACTTGCTGCAGCTCGTGGAAATCCAAGGTACCGAATTCCTGAACACCTTTTGAATGAAATGACTGCTGCTAATACTGAGCTGCAAAAAAAGAGGTGTGTTAATTTAGCTGTGCTAACATCTTGAACATTTACTAGTCTACAGTTCTTTAAAGAGATTTCAGATAGAAGAAAGTAATTCAGTAGGTGTAGTGTTCAGATACTAAAATGAGTAGCTCAGTGTCACAGCTGTAGAGATTAATATGTCCAGACACTGTCTTGCTGGACCTTTGCCTCATATTTTCCAAAAATGAGCAAACCTGCTTAAAACTTCAAATTTGTACCAATATGAAAATGAGTGCAGTTCTGGAAGGAGAATGTTATCTTAATAATCTTTATAGAGGGAGTTCAGAAGGGGGAAGGATTTGACCTGCTGTGAAACAACAGGTAAATCATCTCCTTTGCCAGATACCCATTAGCTCTTTCCTCTGTATGAAACTTTTCTTGTGATGAGAGCCATGCAGACATGGTGAGCAGGTTTCCCAGTTAAGATGTAGAAGGTAGACACATGAAAGAAATAGGTATCTTCTGTGCTACCTGTTTACTGTGCAAATTTTGCTCCTTTATTCTGTTGATGCTGTTATGCTTAGTGTCTTGCAAATAAGACTGGATGCAGGTATAAAGAAAGAATGCCTGGCTATTTCTTTCCTGACTCACTTTCCATGTAGTTTCTTCTGTGTGTACATTGTCTCTTCATTCTATGGAATAGTGACCGGGCACATAGCCTGAAAAAAAACCCCACAACTCCAAAGATGAAGTATATTGCCCTGTTTAGAAAGATATTGTAGAAGCAAGCGCTATAAGGATACGTGTTGTGTGTGTATGAAGGTTGTCTTAGCTAGTGCTATGCGGTAAATTTTATAAATAACTGACATCTTTGAGTGCTTCTTTGAATATCCACTGAGGGAGGAAGGGATGTGACAGTGAATTTTACTATGAGATTAGTATCACGGGATATCAGTTCTAGGATGGTTGCACAGAAGCTTCCCTGAAAAAGGTTAGCAGTTTGTCACTCTTAAGTACACCAGCTTATTATTGTGTTGTTCTTTCAAGGGCTGAATGGGACTCAACCAACCATGGCATTGACTTACATCTCCATTTGAGCTCTTGTTACAAATTTCAAAATGGGGCTTTGCATCCTTCACTTACTTGGAAAGAGAGTATCGTGGATCTGACTATTGATAGAAGAAAAACTCTAGGAGAGCTTCGACAATCAGTATTCCAGGTATTTACTGTATTAAGTGTTGTATGCACACTTCACTTTTGCAGCTTAAGTGAAAGCGTTAATAAATATGCTTATGCCACAATTTTTCATCTCAGTGAAAAATGTTGAACCAGAAATGAAACTTAAGGAGGCTGACAACTTATGTGAATTTGCACAGAGGGAAACTCCACCTTGAGGCTGGCTCTTGAAAGATGAAAGAAGCCACAAACAATTGAAGCTATAATTCTGTAGACTTTAAAGCTGGTGTTAAGCAAGTTATATTTGGGATGCATGTACTTGGGCAAAGG